TCCTCCCATCAGTTAAATGGTTTTGGCATTCATCTCTGTACTATTAAAAATGTTTATGTATTTGTATTTAATCTTTCAACTTTAAATATTATTATTTTGTGCTCCCATGTCGCATAGCTAAGGGAACTGTTAGTTGATTCTACTTTCTGCCTTGTACCATTTTGTTGACTGTACCATTTTTGCTCAGCAATCTATTGACCTTCTCCTCTTGCAATTGTATCTGCACCTTTGCTTTTTCATAGTTGTACAGTTAAATAAATTTACTACTGCCTGGCTGTCCCTTTGCCAAACTCCCATTCATCTCTTGACTATCTGGAGCCCATTCTCTAGTAGTTTTCTCAAGAAAGATCTATTTCAGTAGTAGTTCCTGGACTCATACACATTTAAAATGGTTTGTCTGCAGCCTCTGTATATGAAAGGATAGCCTCTATGAGTATAAAAAGTTCTTAGCCCACATTTATTTCTCTCTTTCAGTATCTTGTACATGTGACCCCACTAACTTCAGGCTTTGAATGTGGTTGCCAGGAAGTATGTTAACAGCCTGATTTTCTTCATTTTTTGCTTAGATATTCAGATAAAAAATATACTCAGTATAAAAAATATATATATTCAATACAAAATAATTTTATAAGGATATATCTTGGTATTGATTATACTAAGAGAACTTCCTTTGATGCAGTGTGCCTTTCAATATATGGAATCAAATCTTTGCATTAAAAGCTTGTTTTTTTAAAATAGTTTTTAAATTCTTTTTTTTTCCATTATTTTAGATTTCTTTTTTTAAAAAAAGATTTTATTTATTTACTTGAGAGAGAGAGAGAGAAAATGAGAGAGGGAGAGCATCGGATGGAGAAGCAGACTCCCTGCTGAGCAGGGAGCCCAATGCCGGACTTGATCCCAAGACTCCAGGATCATGACCTGAGCCAAAAGCAGTCACTTAACCAACTGAGCCACCCAGGCACCCCTATTTCAGATTTCTTATTTTAGGCTCCAGTTATGCATATGTTGTATGCCTTTCACCTGTATTCTATACCTACCATTTCTCTGTAAATTTTTATTTTTGTTTCACTTTTTCCACTTTATTTATTTTTCATTTTTTGGTAAAGATTTGTTTGTTTATTTTAGAGAAAGAGAGCACAGGTAAGGGGAGGGGCAGAGGGAGAGGAAGAGAATCCTCAAGCACATGCCCCACTGAGTGTGAAGTCCCACAACGGGCTTGATCCCACAACCCTGAGATCATGACCTGAGCCAAAATCAAGAGTTGGACACTTAAACAACTAAGACAGCCAGCTGCCCCTATTTTTCATTTTTATGGTCCTTACTGTGCTATCTGTGGTCTGTTTTTTCTTTGCTTTCTTACAATTTAACTTCATTTCAGAAAGGATTCTGACTCTTTTTTGCTTTTTCCCCTGAGTTTAGTTAGTTCCCATTTCACATCTTCCTGTGATCTCCTGCATCTCTGCTTTATAGAAGGTTCGAGGGAACTATAGCCCCCCCAAATCTTGACAGACCTGGATTTGAATCTCAGTTGCCACTTATTAGCTGGGTTTCAATAACAAGCCATAGAAGTTAGATGTAGCAGAAACTTGACAATGAATGATCATAACACCAACCACCATAGGCTAAGAACTTTACCAACATGACCTCCTAGTCTCACTTAATCCTCCTAAGAATTCCCATTAGATGGATTTTACTCTCCCCAGTTGTACAGAGAAGTAATCTGAGGTTTCACATGGTGAAATGTTATATTCTCTCTCATAGGAAGTAGCTACAAGGCGGAGCCAGGGCTGGACCCAGGCCCCAAAGCCTGTGTTCGTGACTGTTCCACTGGACCAATTCCTTCCTTGAAATGAGTGTCCCGGCTTCAGAGGCACATACAGCCCATGGCCACCATGATCACTCAGCCTATCGATTCCATCTGGGCCTCGGCCCATCCATTGTGGTGGTGAGGCCATTGTGGTCCTCTGGGCCCTTCCTGCTACTCCTGAATCTGGGTGACATCCATTAGAATTCTTCGAGACTTGGAATGGAAAAGAAAGGAGAGCTTGAGTCATATGATCTCAGATCCCCCAAAGCCCACTTCCGGGCCACCAGGAACCCAACCCATCCCTCTCCCCTAGATTTCCTGTTTTTAGGTACAACCTGTACAACCCGTCAATACCAAGCTAACTGCAGAGGCCTTTCCAGTCCACATGTCTATAAATCACCTTTTACAATCCTAGTCTTCCCAAGCTGCTATCTTGGGAACTGTACAGAGTGGGAAGCCATCTTGAGGGCCTCTGACTCCCTCAACAATTGATGAATGTGTCCGTTGTCTGTCTTGTTTTCTTCCCATGTCAACGGCCTTTCCACATGCATGGACACTGAAGTACTGACTCCTTGAGGAATTCTTTAAAACTTCTGAAGGGAGTGTTTGGGAGCTAGGCTTCTGTGGACAGTGCCGCCGCCCCTCCTCTCTTCCCTCTTCATTCTCATTTAACGGTTAATGAATTTCTGTGATGAGATGCAGCACAAGGAGGACCAGATGCTGACTGGTTAAGAATACAGGGCAGGTGCGCAGCAAAGTGAGCATGAGTATGGGACAGCAACAGGAGAATGCAGGGGAGTCACAAGCAAGCCAGAGAATCAGCAGTGAGGAGTCCCAGAACACACAGTCCTTCCCCAGTGGTAGGACACCTGCCTCGTCAGTGTGTCCAAGTTGATCCACTAACAGATGTGTAAATGGAAACACACCCTCGTCCTGCAGGACAAAGCTGCAGCACTGGCCCTCAGGGGCCTACTCTCACACTTGGGCCCAAATACCTTATAGTGGGAACAGTGGATGGGGGTTCTGAGAAGGGTGGGGAATAGACAGAAGCAGCAAAAGAGGCTCTTTCCACTGGGCATAAGAAGCACAGTGGGGCGGGAGGGGGCTGGCTCCCCATATCAGTGCCCTGCCGGCAGGATTAGGGTCTACAGCTCTGCCAGGACCAGGTTTTGTGTGCTGGGCAGCCCTGCATGGGAGATGCAGCTCGGGGGGCGGGGGGGAGGACAGATTAGAGGGTCCACATGGAAACACCGTGATGTAGCAAATGAGGAACTGCAGGTAAATGCCGTAATCAGTCTATGTGTCACTTTCTGTCTGTGATACACCATAATAGCGCCTGTTCCCCGTTGAGGCCTGGGGACGATGATACTCCTAGCTGCACCTGGAGCTCCTCAGGTGCCCCCCCCCCCCATGGGATGCTTCCCTGCTCTCCCATCTCTCTTCACAACCAGAATTCATCGTGCTGATGTTACTGCTAATACACACATCCATGCCGGAATGTCTGCATTTTGTGATAGGAACTGGCATCAGGAATGGTCCTCCTCCACCTCCCCTCTCCTTGACCTTCCTCCTCCACGCAGCTTTGACCCTCCTCTGGGTATTGCCTTAGAGCCCAGCCGTGCCTTGGAGCAGAGTTCCTCTCACATTATCACCCCTGCTAAGACATCATTTTCCTAAAGGCAGGGTCTTCTCTTTGTCTTCTTGGAACATTAATGCCTGTTCGATAGTCACTATCCCTTAGACTTGAAAATGCCAGGTTTTGATCATATGGGTAGTATGTGTGCACTGTGATTATTAGTCCCATGTAAGAGCACAAGTATGTTCTGACATTTCTGCTTCAGTTTCCTTTCCCCAAACCAGCCCTGTTATTGCCATCACCCCAGACCCATGGTCACAACCACCACCTTCCACTTCGACTACTAACCATAATCAGGCTGCATTACACCAGGACCCCTATTTATTATCACTTACAAAAACACCAGCTCCTGCTGTTTTTTTCTGTTGTGTGACCCAGATTAGTTTTCTTTTCTTACCCACTGAGATTGTGCAAAGATGCTACTATTGCGTCTTTGTTAGCTGACTATGAAGGTGGGGGGAATGTGATTAGATTACGAATGGCCGTATGATGACTGAGAGTATCAAGTCTGCACTAGATGTGGAAGGAACAAAAAAAAAAAGATGTCCCGATATTATTTTACACATTCAAAGCCTCATGATATTGTATATATACATAATTCAGCATATAATTAGGTCAATACTGTTAATACCTGCACTTCGAAGTTAACCGGGAGAGGGTAAGATTTTATTTGCTCTTTAAAATGAAAGCAAGGCTTTTAATTCTTTGTCTTCAAAAAGCTCATGATGCCTGATAAATGGGATGCAGTGTGCAGTGTCTCTGTCCCTCCATTAGAAGGCCGTTGACTCAGACTCAGAATTAGAGACCCACGGAGTACCAGCCCCCACATCAACTCTCCCTGGTGTTGCATAGAGTCCCCTTCAATACCCTGCACCCATCTCCGTGCCCAGGGGCCCTGTTTAGAGCTGTTCTAGGCCAGGACCCCAGTCCCCAGGAGCATCTCACCCAGTTCAGGGTCAGAGGTCTGAAGACTGCTTCCTACTAAGTCTTTTACACAGAGAATGACTCCCAAGCTTCTGCTTTTCCCATATGAACCTTAAAAAGAGAGTTAAAACTATAAGCAAAAGCCTAAAGAAAATTTGGGTATTTTTTTTTATTGGTTGTTTTTGGGTTTGTTGTTGTTGTTTGTGTTTGTTTTTGTTTTTGTTTTGGGTTTTTTTTTTTTTAGTTTATGTTTTGCTTCCCTCCGAGAATACGCTACCTCTACAAGTTGAGTTTTCAAAGGGGTGAAGGAAAGCAGGATAATTAGGAACATAACGTTTTGACACGTGTGTGCATGAAGCTGAAGGCAATGAGAGTAAATACAGTCACATATTTTGGATGGACGTCAGTCGCAGGTGTGAACCTCTACTTACACATCTGAAAATACGAGCATTACTGGTGGAAAGTTCATTACTCAATGTGCTGAGGGGGAGCCCTTCTTGCACAGTTTTTTTTTCAATTAGCAATAATCGCGCCTCGGATAAACCTCATTGGCTACGATACTGCCACTGCGCAAAGCTCGCACAGTTTTTTTTCTACAATGAGATCCTTAATATTGTCATTTCTTGGCCATAGGCAAAAACTGGGACTTGACCGCCGCTCTGAGTGACTATGAGCAGCTCCGACAAGTGCACACAGCCAACCTGCCACATGTGTTCAACGAGGGCAGGTGCCCCAAACAGCCAGAGCGAGAGCCGCCCCAACCCAGCCACAAGGTGGAGCGGCCCTGCCTGCAGAGACAGGACGACATTGCCCAAGGTACCTGGTGAGGGGCTGAGCCCAGAACGGCTTCCCCAGTGTGCCGTGGCTTGCATGGGGTAGCAGGGGTGGGGGGTGGAGGGCGCAAAGGACCTGGCAAGGGCATCACCTCTGGGCTGCAGGCAAATCGGTCTGTGCGCGCTCATCAAGCTGAGATGCACGTCGCAGCTTCCGTTTCAGGCTCCTCCCTCTGCCTCAGAGAAGCCGGAGGAGGAGTCCAGTTGCCCAGGACCCCACGTGATTAAAGGGGGGGGCACTCCTCCTGGAGCCTTGGTCTCTCCAAGCCAACCCCCTCTAGTCCGTTCAGTTACTTCCTACATAGCGTGGTCTCCGGATCTGCTTGCCATCAGTTCGTTGCTCCACGGGCTCCCTTTCCTCTATTCTTTTTATTAATTACAGAAGTCAGATGTGTTTATCCCGATGAAGGAAACAGTACAAAGGTATAGAGAGAGAACTTAAGAGTTTTCTTCGCCCATCTCAGATCTCACTGATGTAATAACCAAAGATTACGTCTTCGTCCGTCTCCTCCTTGCTTTCCCTGTGCTCTTTCAAAATGCACCAAGATCAAATGCATATGATGCTTCTCAAATCACTTGTTTCTCGGAACGTTGAATCATGAGTAGAGTCTCAATATTTTATTCCACAACCTACAGTGATATTTAAACTACTCCTGTATGAATGGTTATTCTGGGTTTTCTTGGGTTTTGTGTTTTGCTTGTTTTCAATACTACTAACAATGCTAAAATAAACAACCGTATGCCTGTGATTTTAGATACTAGTGTTTTTATTTCTCTAAGTCAGTGTTCCCAGAGTGGATTTGCTGTGCCAGTACCTGTGTGTCTTTAATTCAGTAACTTCAGGACTTTTTCAGATGCATTTATGCTGGCAGTGTGTGAAACGAGGTATCTCCCTCCAGTCTTGCTAGCACTGAACGTTTTTGTGGTGGCTTTACGTTGCTTTTCTACTGCGAAGGGAGGAAGAGGGTGTCTTGTTTTAACTTTCATCCTGTCATTTGTTAGTTAGCCAGCTGGATTTCCCCTTCTGCAACATGCCTGTTCTCATACTTTGCCCATTTTTCTGTTGATTTTTTTTTCAGTTTTCTGATCGATGTGTAGCATTCTTTGTGGTTAAGATTAGGGACATGTATTTTTACATATGTGTATGTCTTTCCCGGTATATATTTGTTTTATGACTTTGTTTACAGAATATTCTGCCACACAAAATGTTTATATTATTATGCATTCATGGCTGATAGGAATCCTCTTTCACTTTGGAAGGTCTCCCGGAGTACATAGTTACTGGAATATGTCCCTATATTCGTTTTAAAATTTTGTTCATAGGTCTTTCGATTGATTTGAAATTTTTATACACAATAGGGAAGAATCTAGTCTTGCTTTCTTCTGAATCAAGAATGAGTTACTCTAGCACATTTATTGAATAAAACATTCTTTACCCACTGAACTAAAATGCCAAAGTTGCCATATATTAAATTCCCAAATATATTTGGATCTGTTTCCAGACGCTGTCAATCCATGTGGTCACTCATCCTGTTACCTTAACTCTGGTAGTCCATGTACTATAATTTCTGTTAAAGAACTTCTTTCATGGTATTCTTTTCCAAAGTTTTTTCACTATTTGGGGGCATTTTATTCTTTTTTTTTTAAAGATTTTATTTATTTATTTGACCGAGGATAGAGAGCACAAGTAGGCAGAGTGGCAGGCAGAGGGAGAGGGAGAAGCAGGCTCTCCGCTGAGGAAGGAGCCCAATCTGGGGCTCAGTCCTAGGACCCTGGGATCATGACCTGAGCTGAAGGCAACCGCTTAACCAAATGAACCACCCAGGCACCCGTGGGGCATTTTATTCTGCCATGTAAACCTTAAGCTTGGAATTCTGGTTGGAATTGGAATGAATTTTTATTTTAAGATTAATTGGCATATTACCATATTGTTTTCTATTCCAAGATTTTAGACCTAGAGAAAAGCGACTTACTTTTTCCATATTTATGTTTTATGCAGTAATTTACATAAATTCTCTTATAATACTAATCATTTTTTTCTAAGAGAACATCTGGGGTTTTCTAAATATATATATATGGCTGCTCCTGCTCTTTTTGACTGGCAGCAAACCAACCAACCCATTATTTTACCCTCACATTGAGAATGCTAGAAGGACCCTTCTCTCTGCTTCCAGAGAGGTTGATGGATTCAGAACCTAATAACTGTAAGTGAAAAACTAAATCTGTCACATAATTCCATTAATTGAGTTTTTTGAACAATCCTATGTAGTTTTTATAAAATGGAAATTATAGTTTCTGAATTAGATACCCGTATCCTTTGAGTTCTTGAAATCATAGTGCATACATTAACATGGAAAATTAATGATCCATATTATAAATTGGGGGTCAGCAAGCAATGGCCCATGAGCCCACTCTGGTTACTGTCTGTTTTTTAAATAAAGTTTTTATTGAAACACCCTCTTGCCCATTCATTTATACACTGGCTATGTAAGCTCCAGCTTACAAAGCCTAAAGTATTTATATCTGCCCCTTTCAGAAAGACTTGTGCACCTGTTCTTAAAATACCTAGGATTTGTTTTAATCAGATATGATGAGATATGCACACATGGAAAAGAATATCATGAACGAAGTTGTTATACTCACAGTTCCCAAAAAGCAGGAGACATGGCATGGTACACCATGTAGGACCACATGGGGAAGGATGAAGGGTGGTCAGGAGGCAGAAGGGACTGAGAGGAAAAACATGGACATGAACTTTTATTGTCATTTCCTTGGAAAAGGCAAGGGAGGGTAAACAGATTTAGGATTGGCAAGACTGAATAATTTCAGCAAGCTCTCTGGGGCTTAGAAGCTATCCCCGGTTGTCTTGTACCTTGCCCTGGGTCACAGAGAAATATTGCTTGCTGGAGTGTAAGAACCAGAGAGAAGAGGTGGTTCTCTGGATTCATTGGTTTGCATAGGAAAGGCATGCTCCTTTCCTAGGAGTCATTGGCTCTCAGAATTAGCTACTCCTAGTAAGGAAAGTCCCTCCACACTCAGGAATGCCCCAGATGCCAGAGTATCAGGAATACAGAAAACAAGAAAATACAGTTAAAACAGCTCCCCTGGCCTGAATAACATCAGTATGAATTGGTTTTGTCAATAGTTGCAGAATTCTGTGTGTTTCACTGTGTTTTTATTTAATATCTTTATTTCTCTAGGGTATAACTCTGAACATGGTCATTCCTATAAAACAATTCATTTATACCTCTAAAAGAAGGATTGCTGAGTTCATGTTTAAGGAATCAGTGTGTGTGTGTGTGTGTGTGTGTGTGTGTGCACGCGTGCACGCATCTGCGTGTCTGTGTGTGATTATATATATGCATTCATGGAGATGGTGGTGGGCAAGTGTTAGAATTAGGAGCATATGTTTCTCAATATATGAGCTTTAGCATAATTTACTTTTAGTTCAAAAGTTTTGTTCTTTTTTTAAGATTTATTTATTTATTTGAGAGAGACAGAGAGAGGGCAGAGGGAGGGGCAGAGGGAGAGGGAGAGAGAATTCTTAAGCAGGCTCCCCACTGAGTGGGGAGCACAAGGAACGTCTCAATCCCAGAACCCTGAGATCATGACCCAACCCGAAACCAAGAGTTGGACCCTCAACCGAAGGAGCCACCCATGTGCCCCCAAAATGCTTTTTCATTCAGACCCCAAATAGTTACTATGTGGAACTACTTAAAAGCATCATATTATACTATGAGTCACAATGCTCCTAAGGTCCTAATAGCATCTCAGTGATTGGCAAAGAGGTACTAAGTGATAAGCCACGAAGGAGTATGGATGACTGTGCCCAGCAGATTCCCACTATTGAGAGCTGCGTCGTGAGTCTGTCCAGTGGACTGTGTGGGTCACGTAACACCTTGGGTGTTAAGGAACGTCTGATGCCCATCTCCATCAGGTCCCAAGGGGGTGAAGCAGTTTCTACTTTCCCAGATACAGAAACAATAGTCTGTATTGAGAGGTGAGACATCAGCGTGGCTTGTGAGACCTGGAGAACATGGCAGAAGGACTCAGAGTCTCCTTCGCTCCTGCTCTCGAGAATGTGGACCGAGTGCAGGAAGCAATGGGGCCATCCCCAATGGTAGACAAGCCAGGACATACATGCTCCAAGTCTCTTCTTTCTCATGGCCAGCATGGTTTAACTTCTCTTTGCCTTTCCTCAAAATACAAAATAATGAGTCTTCATTGTCTCAGAAATCAACCGAAGGTGAATCAAAACTACTCATTTTAAAATACTCTCTCTGTGGGACTCACCATTCATTTTAATGCCCAGATACTTGAGGCTTCTGAGAATTGACTTTAAATTTAAAACCAACTTACCCCGGGATCAAAAGCCTTCTGTTTTTAGTCTGCTCTAGCAAAATGACTTTGATGACATTTCTCTCCACTGCCCTTGCACGTGGGGAAGTAAGGAGCTCCTGTTCCAGATGAAGGCACGAGCGTGGGTTTTCGGTGAGCACAGGTGGGCAGAGACATGCTTCCGAGTGGCATCAGCATGGACACAGAGCCTGATTGGCGGGCAGGCTGATCTGAAATGAAGTGGCAGTCCTCGTGACCCAAGTGGATACACTTACGAATTTGCCACAGGGCTTAGACAACACCCATTCAGACACCAGTCTGAATCTTGTTTTCCTGAGCGAATAAAAAGAGCACTTCTGCCTTGCTAGAAGAATTCTCCATTATTACGACTATTGGTTGTAAAAAGAAAACGTCCCCCCTAACACCGTGATTTTAAGAATTCTTCTATTATGAAGGATGCCTGGGTGGCTCAGTCGGTTAAGAATTCTTTTATTATGGTTAATGTTAGCTATTAAGAGCAGGGCTCAAAAAACCAAGTGTCAAGAGAACAAAGACATCTGCTTTTTTGCTGCATGTTGAGATCTCGTGATTAACTCCCTCCCAGGGCAACAGCAGGTACCTCAGAGGAAGTCTGCCCTACACATCTCACCCTTTGGCTGGAAACTCCAGGCAGAATAAGACCAGAGTAGATGGGCTCTTTTCAAGTGCAGGGACAATGTCAGACTGAGACAGAAGAAAAGCAGGGATGCCTGGGTGGCTCAGGTGGTTAAGTGTCTGCCCTCAACTTAGGTCATGATCCCAGAGTGCTGGGATCTAGCCCCGTATTAGGCTCCCTGCTCAGCGGGGAGTCTGCTTCTCCTTGCGCAGCTCCCCTCTACTCATTCGCTCTCTCTTCCAAATAAATAAAATCTTTATAAAAAGAAGAAGAGAAGCAGATGTGAAGGCTTCGTATTTTTGTATTTGGGGCATAATCATTGCGTGGGATATGTCTATCAGAGTACCTTTAGTACAGTAACCTCTCTTACAATCTGAGCCACGTGGGGAAAGCCTGAACCAACTGCTTCTTGCTTTAAATATAAGAATGTCTAAAACAAAGAGCAGTCTGGCTTGTGGCCTTCAGCCGAGCCCAGGGCAGCTCTGCTGAACTGAGTTAGATGTTACTTAAGACCCAAAAACGCAAGACCGGCGATCTTCCATGAGGCCGCTGTGTACGTGTGCAGTAGCCTTGCAGCTCGCCTCTTTCTGAATGGTTTCCTGACTCAGAGTGAGTAAGTGCCATATGCCAGGTGCTGGTAATGTTAGCTCTGCGTCAGGGAGGTCTGCAGGAAGAGTGGCGGGCGTGCGGGTGAATGTGTGCGTGCCTGGGTGTATGTGTGTGCATGTGGACTTGGGTGGGGGCATGTGTGTGCGTGTGGACTTGGGTGGGGGCATATGTGTGCGTGGAACATGTGTGCACGTGCATGCTCGCACAGCCACATGTCCACCCCACTCAGTTCCTGTGGTCATCCTTCCCCCTCCCCTACCCTTGCAGAAAAGCGGCTTTCCCGGGGGATTTCCCACGCCAGCTCAGCCATCGTCTCCTTGGCCCGGTCCCACGTGGCGAGTGAGTGCAACAATGAGCAGTTCCCCCTGGAGATGCCCATCTACACATTCCAGTTGCCAGATCTGAGCGTGTACAGTGAAGACTTCCGGAGCTTCATCGAACGGGACTTGATCGAGCAGGCGACCATGGTGGCTTTGGAGCAGGCAGGTGAGTGGCGGGTCCAGCAGGCCCTTGTGGCCTAGGCTCAGGGAGTGAGACTGGCCTAACGTAGATCAGTAGATCAGTGAGCAAGGGAGAGGCCTGTTGTCTCACTCAAGGGTTTTCAGTTAAGATTGGAGGGACTTGCCGCAGACCTCCTGCTCTGCAGCCACGCCCTGCTCCAGCCCAGGGCCAGACAGACTAGTAGGGATCCATGACAGTGTGGTTCTGAGACCTCTTGGGTTTTCCCTTTGCTCCCAGATCTGGCCTGGTTAGGCCAGCCCCCTCTAAGGAGAACTCTCTGTGGTTTTGCCTTATTTTTCTCCTGTTTCCATCTAACCCTCCCATGGGTGTCGAATGAAAGGCAAGAAAGACTATGGGCTTTGAGAAGGACAGGAGACTGTCACTTCCTGGGGACATGAGCAAGTTATGTAACCACCCTGAGCCTGTTTTCCTGCAAAGATGGAAAGACAGGTGGTGGCCCGGCGAAGCTCTTGTATCTTGTGTGGCTGTCGTCTCCTGCCCTCCCGGGCTTCCCGGCCTCCAGGTTGAAGAGACACAAACCCTGACTTCACCTTCTCCTTTCTTCTGAGCGTTTCTTCTGACATCCCAATGAGGAAGAGATTTGGGGAGCAAGCCAGGCTTGTCTTCTTCGGCGCTCCTGAGGACAAAACAGTCAGTTCAAAACAAATGTCTGAAACAGATGTAGGTTCTTCCTGAGACAGAGCAAATATCCTATCTTACTCATCACCGTTTTCATTATGTATCTTTGCAAAATCACATGTTCAGGGACTTCTCAGACATGCATCCAGAAGACTCGATGCCCTTCTCAGGCCCAGCATCCTCTCCCATGGGGCCCCACCTGCCACTGAGTGTTGTCCTTGCACGTGGAGTGTGTCCTCGCCCAGCTGGGCTGGGGAGCAAGGCTTTCTGATTCTGACTCCATGGTCAGCAGCTCTTCCCGGCTGCTGTGGGTTGAAGCCTCCATTTCAAAGGCCTGGTATATCGAGGTGCTCCTGTGTGGCCCCTCCCAGGAGAACAGGATGAGGAGCCTCTGACTGAGCATGGCGGAGAGGGTGTGTTCAAGCCTGCAGCCACGAGCAGTGCTCCGTCAGGAAATCAGGCTGGTCTCAGCTCTTTACCAAGACACAGTTGAAAATGCCCAAGCCTTTGGGAGGCTGCAGAAGACTCAAGAGAAGGATCTGTCATTGGTATGATCTTGATCTTGGCAGATGGACCAGTCATTTCCTACCAGTCCTGGTAGCAAAGAGGCAAACGATGAGAGTAGCTGATGGAGAACGCTACTTATAGAAGGTGTGGCTTCTCGGAGAAAAGATTCTGGAAATATAAACCCTCCAGACACCTTGTTCCTCCACCATCCGGGCTCTGACCAGTGCCTCTCACAAGCAGAAAGGCAGAGAGCTGAGAGCCCATTACTGGGGTCTGTGCAGGTCGCCCTGTGGGTGCAGAATAGGGGGAGCAGAGATCTGTGGGACAAATAGGAAGCATCCAGAAGTGGACTCTTGGGTGTTTTCCCCAGATCCAAGCTTCTGTGTATACTCAGCCTCCTCCCATTTCTTGTAGAACAATCTAGGAAACATCCTCATCTGCCTGCTCCAAGAAAGAAAGCACAGAATTCACGTAGACATAGGAAGGGGTGGTAGTGTGGGGCCTTATTTGTGCTGCGCAGCCTGGTGATCTATCCCAGCCACAGGACTCGGGGGAGACTGGCCCATGGCACTCTTGGTTTTGAGAACAGGGTCTACAGTCCAAGTAATTCATTGGATCTGATGTTGTGACTGTAGGTGACTTGTTACCTCCGCTGTTTCAGAGCTGTCAAAAGCAACCCAAAGACTAACACCCACAGCCATGCTCTGTCTCAGCTCACGGTCACCAACTGATCAACAATCACAAAACAATTCACCTGGATTAGCAATAATCCTAAACCACTCCCTATGGGGAGGCTGGCTTTTTTAAAGATGCTTCTACATGAATAATTCAGATAAGAGATTTTTTTTTTAAGATTTTATTTATTTATTTATTTATTTATTTATTTGAGAGAGAGAGAGAGCATGAGAGGGGAGAGGTTCAGAGGCAAGAAGCAGACTACCTGCTGAGCAGAGAGCTGGAAGCTGAACTCCATCTCAGGAGTCCAAGATCACAACCTGACCTGAAGTTAGTTGCTTAACCCACTGAGCCACCCAGGTGCCCAAGATGAGATTTTTAACAAAGGATTCACTCTTCATAGAGAAGGGGGAAATTGGTATAAGTTAAGAAAGAAAAGCTCATAAGACATGAGCTAATGTCTCTCTAATGCTACCCAGCTCGGACTTTGTAACCTTAGGTCCTGACAATGGCTGGTAGCACCCATAACTGTGGCCGTTTCCTTTGAAGGTTGAGTCCTGGCAGAGGGTGCAGTGCCCCCCGCCCTGGCACGATGATAACCCCCTCCTTTGGTCCCTGCTATGCTTAGCAAAACCCTATACTTCTTTGTAATGTCTTTTCTATTATTTCTTCCATAATTACATACTCATTTTTATCATATACATCTTACCTTCTGGATTAGTATCTAAAAAGAGGGTACTATTCCACTCCAACCATCCAGGCTTGGAAAGCTTTTAAGAACCCAAACTTAGGGGCGCCTGGGTGGCTCAGTGGGTTAAAGACTCTGCCTTCGGCTCAGGTCATGATCCCAGAGTCCTGGGATCAAGCCCCACATCGGCTCTCTGCTCAGTGGGGAGCCTGCTTCCTCCTCCCTCTCTGCCTGTCTCTTTGCCTGCTTGTGATCTCTGTCAAATAAATAAATAATATAAAATAAAATTTAAAAAAAGAACCCAAACTTACTGAGTGAGGATGCTAACTTCACCAACACTGTTTCTGTCACGTGCCAAGAGGACGGAGAGAACGGGCAGCAAGGATCCCCACCCAGCGCTGGGAAGACACCCTATCCATGCTTCAGGAAGCCTTGGGAAGGCTGGCCGGCTGCCCTCCTCCCCCGCTTTGGGAGCATGCTCCTGGAGCAGCAAGAGCCTGCGCGCCAGGGCTCTGCCTAGCACAGGGAAACAAGGAACTGAAAAACAATGTAGGCAGAAAGAATAAATGTGTTCATTTCCTCAGCATAGAGCTGACCCCGGCCTGCCATGCACATGACTTCTCTTGACTTCTTTCCTCAACTCCCAAGCAGGGTTGTAGACTAGATGATTCATCAGTCCCTTTCTGTGCCCGGATTCTGGTGAGGACCCTGGCTCGTGTCAGGTGAGCCCCAGATGGTTCCCCACCCCAACTGGAGGAGGAATATGGCCCACTGCGAGGCAGACTTATTCTCTCCCACCCAGGCTGTGCTCCTGTTGCTACCATCAGGCGCCACTGTTAATGTCCATGGGGAAGAGGGAGCTCGGCCATGAAACAGCGATTTGAGAAAGCCCCTCAGTGTTGCCAGGAGTAACGTGTAAATTCCTCCTTGTAGTAACTTACTGCTCAGGATAGTTGTGGATAAGCTGCTGATATACATGTGTGCGCATATACTATATATGTGGGAGAGTGACATAGATGCCCAAAAAAATCCACTTGTTCGAGGCATAATTCTAGCTGTCTTGGGAAGGAAATATCGTCTCTGTCACAGAGTGGCAGGTGAGTCGGGGGGGCTCTCCCAGCCTCTGGGACTCTACAGGAACTGGGATTTGTGTGGTCCAGAAAATTTGGAATAAATTGACCTTCATTCATTTAGTTTCGCCCCGGGTCCACCACAGGGGCTTAGCTCTACTCTCTCAGTGCCTGGTAAGACATGGGACAGCCCATCTATCTGAGGAGCCCCCATGTTGAGTGGGTGCCAGTCTTCCCCTCCCACAGAACCCACAATGCCATTCTCCTGGGCTTTAAATCCCTGCAGGGGATTTAAACTCCCCTCCCACACCATGACAGTCTCACAGGCCACAAAAGGACAGGGCTTCAGTGCATACAAGCACTGACCTCTTGAGAGATGAAGGAAAAATGTCTTTCATTCTTTAATGATTACCTGCCATGGAAAATACAAGAAACCATAAATTTCCCCATCGGGTTATCTTGCTTCATTTACATGTAAGAAGACTCTGAGATCATGGGTTCTAGGCCTGAGGAGTAATGACCCGTGCCTCGTCCAGAAGCCTGCCACTGTGGGCAAGATGGTGTGTGGTGCTTCAGCGAGGCTGTGAACCCAAAGGGCAGAGGCATGTCTGTGTAATATAGTAGTGACTGCATACCTGAGAAATTGAAGTATAGTCAGAAAATATTTAGGGAACCCCTTGGCTTGTGGTGTTGAGTCTCGGCTCCATGGAAGGGTGGTAGCTTGAAGCAGATTGGCCAGGGGAAAGGTTAAGATGTGCAGATGTTCCCCAGGCTTCTGACTCAGCCCAACCTGGCCAAGTTCTGGTCAGCTGGAAGAACTTGGCCAAGTTACTTGACCTTTGTGAGTCTCACTTTCTTACATTTTGAGTCGAAGATGTGTGAGAGCTGCCAAGCCACGACCAGTTCACCCAACACAACCCTGTGCTCTCACGAAACAGCCCATTGCAGGTGCTGGGGTCATGACTCTAAACCACGCAGGTGAAATTCCTGCGTTCGCAGAGATTAAAATTCTAGTGGGGAAGAATGACAATAAAAGGTAGACCATAAACGTGAACTGAGGTGGTGAGGACCGTTGTGGAAGGGGTAGGAAGCAAAGTACGGGGTACAAGGATACGAGGAGACAGGAAGGAGAGTAAGGCAGGTCTCTGGAGGGCAGGGAGGAGGGAGAGATGGAGACATCCAGCTCTGGTGTTCTCGGCAGAAGGGGCTTGGCCTCAGTCTTGTGCACTACATAAGGAAAGCCAGGCATGAGAGCAGTTGGAAGGTGTGCTGGAGGAGTTGGAAAGGAAGGCAGAAGAATGGTGGCCAGGGGCCCAGGGAGCCACTTGAGACCTTGGGCTTAACTGTAGGTCGGATGTGCAGTCCGACCTACAGGATTTCGAGCAGGTGAGTGACATGTTTGGATT